TTAAGATTTAGCATCTAATAATCAATTTTATTTCAAACTACATGTAGAACATCGAACAATTTATTACTGTATATTTGACGTGAATATTTTTTAATATTCAATATGGAACATTTAAATTATTATGTATATTAGTTTTAAGTCTTGTACCTATAATAAATTTCTTCTTAATAAAATTCTTAAAAGCATTCCGTCCATGAACGTCTAATGGTTTTCTACTCGTTTAATGAAAATAACACGTAAACACTGATTCAAATATTTCTATTCAAGCAAATATGTACTTTTGTACATACATATATACATAATTCAGATGCACCGTATTAATCCATATGTATATATATAAATATGTATTATTCATTAAAATAAATAAATTAAATTTTATTTATTTTTCAATTTCATAGCGAAAATCAATAATTAAAAGTGTTCGCACGTACAATAAGCAATTGAAAATCGAAAACTATTTTAATTATTGTACATAGTTTACTGTAAATCTTTTGACTTTTGACATTTTAGAAATTTAAATAAACATTTTACAAATACATATTAGCATATATCTATTTGTATGTATGAAAAAAAATGAAAATTAAAAGAAAATTTTATTAATACTTTTGCTTAAAAAAAAAAAAAACAATAAAATTTTATAAATTGCTTTTGAAATCTAATAAAAAAAAAAAGTGACAGATGGATTAAGCTCTATAATAGAAAATAAAACTGAAAATATTTTCTTTACGATCAAATAAAAAAAAACCTGATGTGGTCAGCACATAACCGACCGCATTGTGTATTGTCTAGTTAAATGAAAGTGTTACAGAATATTATAAAAATGTCTGTTAAATACTTCTTTCCAGTTTTTAGGACATTAGTAAGCTTATAGTTAACATACTTAGAAAAATGTAAATTTGGCTCTTAGTAGAGTTTCGCTTTGTGCTACCCGAATTCCCTGACATGCTCGCCAGTTAGTTTTGGTAACAACCAGAACTCAAATATCAAATTTCAAGAAATTCCATCAATTTGTTCTGTGGATATGGTGAAAAATGTAAAATCGGCCCGCAGATCAGTTTTCGAGGCCTGATCTTTCCAAAAAATTTACATGTTCATTGTTTATACGAGGAATTCAAATATTAAATTTTAATGAAATCGGTTGATTATTTCTCTTGTTATACACAAAAATGTATATTTGGCCCGTAGTAAACGTCCAGTTGCTGATGCCTGATTTCTTCCAAAAGCTAGGAATTTTAACGGACGGTCGAGCAAAGCTTATATATGAAATTTCAAGTAAATCGGTTGAATATTTTCTTCAAAATGGTGAAAAAAATGCAAATCAGTTTTCAAGCCCTGATCTTTCCAAAAAATTTATGTATTCATTGTTTTAATACGAGGAATTCATATATTAAATTTCAATGAAATTGGTTGATTATTTCTCTTTATATACACAAAAAAGTATATTTGTGCCGTAGTAAACGTCTAGTTGCCGATGCCTGATTTCTTCCAAAACATAGGAATTTTCGCGGACGGTCAAGCTGAGCTTATATATAAAATTTCAAGTAAATCGGTTGAATACTTTCTTCAAAATGTTCAAAAATGTAAAACAGGCCCGCTAAAAAGTGCAGTTCCCAAGGCCTGATATATACCAAAAGTTGATCAATCCGTGCCATGGTGGAAATAAACTTACATATAAAATTTCATCAAAATCGGTTCAGCAGAACTTGAGATACACCCGTGCACACACAGACCGACAGATCGACAGACCCACAGACCGACAGGTTGCTAAAAATAGTTTATTTACACTTCCCTACTATGGAGAAGTACGTTCCCACCGAAAACTCGATATGCAAAATTTTTTGCCATCACATAACCTACCTATTGTTTACACAATACGGTCGCTAAAAATTAAAAATAAAAAGAAATTACAATAAAAATATTTCGAATTTTTCATTAATAAAAAAAGAAAGAAAATAAAAGTTTTTTCGTTTTTTTTTAAATTAATTAATTAAAATTGATATAAATTTGGAAAAATGAAGGTTAAAATTTTTAAAACAAATATAAATTACAGAGAAATTAAATGTATACGAACATTGCGCACACATCCCAAGTTACATATATATTTAAAAAACATTTAACAATGTTTGTGAAACTCAATGGGGATATTTTATATTATTGCACCACTATAGATTCGGTTTTATATTGCTTCAAATGCCTGAAATCGGAAAATTCTAATAAAACACGAATAATTTCTTCAATATGCAATTGTTGCAACTTATTTGATTATTAAGATATTACATCATATATCGTCGCAAATAATAGAGAAAATTAACATTTTCACATGAACCAAATTGCGAATTGCACACTTTAACTGCGCAAACTGAACGCTAATACCGCAATATATTGCTTGAACTGTGAAAACTTTTAAGCAATTGAAACTCAAAAAGAAAAGTGGAAGTATTAAGAAAATAAAATAAAATGTCGAGAAAAATATTTTTATGAGCGTTAACTCATAAATTGCAACATGCATAAACTATGACATGTTGCAATGTTTTCTATTTGCAAAGTAAAAAAAGTTTCTTTGCTTTATCAGCATTGTTTGTAAGCGCCATATTTGTAGTTTTACTTAAATATGCTTATTGTTATAATGGAAACTATTATTTCGAATTTTTCAACATTATGATTCTACAACTTATGGTTAAATACTATGAGAAAAAATTTTTCATTAATTTGTTTGAAACATTTGCTACATAATATCTTTAAAACAAAAGCTTAATTAAACATGCTCTTAAAATATAATAAAGGATACAATCTTAAACATTAAAAGATTAAAATTAAAAAGTTTTCTATCTAAAATTCAAAAAAACTAATGTTTTTTGAATTTTAGATAGTTTAATGAATTTTGAATTTGAAAAAAAAAATTAAACTGTTTAAAGCTCCTAATTTAAAATGTGGCTTCTAATTTTAAGAATGTCTATTCTCTACTAAACATATGTTTAGTAGACAATAGACATACTACTGCGGACATATGTACATATGTATATATGTGTAAACTAAAATACTATCAATGACGAATTTGCTCGAATTTAAGAGTCAATTGATCGAGTTAAGAAAAATATTTAAATAATTTAATTGCATGGCAATTACCGTTAGCTTTTAGTATTTATCTAAATTTGAAAAAGCTTACAGTTATAAAGTTGTCAAAAAGTTGTTTTTGACAATATAAGTTGTCAAAAACTCAAGTTTTACAAACCTCGGGAGGCGATAGCTTGAGAGGGAGTGGAGTTGGAAGTATTAGAATCTAAAACTATTTATAAATATCTTAGAGATACTGAAATGTCAGACTCCTACAGGCGGAGGTCTAAAATAAAAACGATATGAAAAATTAGTAAAAAACGGATTTTTGATAACTTTAAATTTTAACGGCCATTCTGTTTTTATAAAATTCAAATATAGTATGCCGCAGTAGAAGAAGCCAATCACTGCTTTTTTGCGTTTGCAGAACTTAAAAAATGTACCTGGTTTTACTGCAACAATAACTTAAAAAAAAGCAGTGTTAAGGCTATAATTCTTAGAGAGGGAGAAGGTAAAAATTTTCTTCTACGGAAATAATTTTCTAATAAATTAATCTATATATGTACATATGAAATTTCAGCTTTCTATCTTTAAGGGTGTAGAATGTACGCGCACGATGGACGAACAAACAATTTGTTTCAAAATTTTTTTGGAAAAGTACTACAAACAAGTTACCACGGCAAAAATATTTGTGTCATTTTAATCTTCTATTTTGCTCAAATTTTATAAAAAAAAAAAGATTATTCGAAAAAATGTGTGAGACAAATTTAGATAATATATGCAATTTTATCATCAACTTTCCAGTTCAATTGAAATTCATGGAAATAGAATGCTATAAATTAAACTACGAAAATAATGACTAAAATATTATTTTAGATATAAAACTAGATAGAAAATCAAAATATTTACAATTTTAATTTTGAGAAAGTAAAAAATTTTAAAATCTTTAACATTAAAAAATTTAATATTTCTATTATTACATTTTTCCTAATTTAACTTTGAGATTTATAGCACTCTATTCTCACATGCAAGTTTGTATACATAGATATTTGAAAAATAAATAAAATTCGTTTAAATATAATTAAAATTTTTTCAAATTTTAAAATTTAAAAAATATATACATATATGTATATGCATGTTGTATTTTGAAAAAATCAATAATTTTATTTCATGTATTTCATTTCAAATTTTCCAAAATATTAAAGAAAATTTCCAGTTCGATAAATTCTAACACTTTTTAAAATCTAGAAAAAATTAGAATAAAATAATACGCCCAAAATCGTTAATTCAAAATTGAATTTTCTTCAAAAATGAATGTACGAGTACTAGAAGAAGGTGTAGTGGTAGAGTAGTTATTTATTGAACATTCCAATATTCTGCCGTGCTTGGCAAAAAAGAAACATTTTTTGAAAGTTTGGTTGGATTTCCTTTTGAGTTACCGGGGATCAGATGGGGAGACGAACATGTTTAAGTCATATGTAGAATTTAACGCTGAACGAAGACATATACGTTATACATGTTTCCTTTAGAGATGACATTTTCACGTGGTTGCGAACTCCATTCCAAAGTTAATATACATATACCCTTCACTAAGGTACGAATGGGGTATGAATAATATACAAATTAAAAACTATGCTATATCTCGTATAAGTAATGTTATACATCAAAATGCAAAAGTACATCAAACTTAAATTGTCGAAAATTGTTGTAATAAAAATAATATGAGTTCATATATCAATTTTAGATATGAAAATTATTAAAAAATGTATGATGCATTCATATGAATACGTGTGGATAGATCAGATTTGCTCAAGCATACACAAGATTTAAGATAGAATTTAATTTTTTTAATTAATTTGCTGATATTATATGTGAACTACATATTTTACATGAACTTAAAAGGCAAGCAAATTATATTTGAATGAATTTGTATTTTATAATTATAGGTAGTCAAGCACAGAGAGATATGGAAGCAGAAAGAGCAGCCAGAAGAGATTTTTTTAATGAAATGCAAAAATTTTCAAGTGATATAGAACTTTTAAAGGTGCAAAAAATTACTATTTATTAGAAACAAATACATATACCTACATATGTATTTTTTTTTTATTTTTTCAAAATGGCACATTTAGTAAATAAATTTATTTCCCGTTTTATAACAGTTAAGCAAACAGGAATGGAATGGTAAATTAACGTCGATATTAAGGGAGCATAAAGATGCAATAGATACTCTTACATCAAATAATATGACTGTACTTCAAATGGAAAATAAACTAAATCCTTGGCGTTTTTGGAATTCAATGTTTTATTGTGGAACAGTTTATACAACAATTGGTATGTAATTCGATAATAAGTACTTATAATTACGAAAAATAAACAATAAATTTTCATGCAATTTCAATCATTACTTTTTTTTATTGATTTTTCATATTTGCTTCATTATACTTTCATATTCATCAGAATAATTTCATAGTTTCGTCATTATATTATAGCAATAATAATAATTTTAAACACCTACATATAATTTAGAAAAATTTTTGTTTTTTTTACTCGGATTTTCTTAAATATAAATAAAGAAAGAATTATATTATTATTTTATTTTAAATTTAGAATAAAATATTTTCTTTTTTGTAATTTTTCTTTGATATTTAAGAATGCGTAAACCAACATTTTCATCCAAAAATACATAACATGAAAACAAAAAATTTTATGTGATCAGCACATAACCGACCGCAATGTGTATTGTCTAGTTTAGTGAAAATGAAGTTACAGAAGTTTATTAAAATGTCTTTTTCCTAATTTTTAGAGCGTTAGTAAGCTTTTAATTAACCTACCTAGAAAAATGTAAATTTGGCTCTTAATAGAGTTTCGCTTTGTGCTATCCGAATTCCCTGAAAAGCTCGCCAATTAATTTCGGTATCAACCAGAGCTCAAATATCAAGTTTCAAGAAATTCCATCAGTCAGTTCTGTAGATATGGTAAAAAAATGGAAAATCGACCTCCAGTTTGATTTCCGAGCTCCAAAAATTTATATGTTCATTGTTTTAACCCTCCAAATTTAAATATTAAATTTCAAGGAAATTGGTTGATAATTTTTCTTTATATGGGCAGAAATCTAGAATTTGCCCGCAGAAAAGTCCAGTTCCCAAGGCCTGATATATCCCAAAAGTTGATCAATTCGTGACATAGCCAAATAAACTCACATATAAAATTTCACTAAAATCAGTTCAGTCGAACTTGAGATACACGCGTGCACAGACAGACAGACATAGATAGAGAGGACAAACTGAATAGTTGGTAAAAATAGTTTATTTATACTTCCATACCATGAGAAGCGCGATCCTACCGAAAAATCGATATGTAAAATTTGTTGCCATCACATCACCTACCTTATTGTATGCAATGCGGTCGGTAAAAATATATTGTATGTTCGTTTGCATGAATGTTGTTTTAGTTTAAAGAATGAATGATGCGATAGTAAAAAAATATATTTAATTTGTTTAACTTTGAATTGTTGTGTGGATGTCTACTTTTCAAGTTCAAAACATTTTTTCATATGTACATATATATAAAAGTATACAAAATACTATATGAAGTGATAAGTAAATGAAATGAACAAACTGTCTAAAAAAATTATGTAAAATGAATACATACATGTGTATGTAAATGGGATGGGACAGATCAGAAAAAAAGAACTTGATAAAAATGTAGCAATTAAATGAATAGCAGAAGCGAAACAAAATAATTTGTATTTCAAATATTAATTTTAAATACAAATTAGTTGTATTCTTTTAAATCTTTTAGCTTTCCACTTATCAAAATAGCACATAATAACTTTACCTAACTTTGTTCTCCAATTAAAGTAATATTTCAAAAATTACCATAATTTTTTATTAAACGACATATTTCCATAAATTTCGAAATAAGGAAAAACATTGCAATAAATCAAGTGATTTTCTTTTTATTAAGTTGAAGAAAAATTTTAAATAAATATTTCTATAGTCACACAAATTTATAATAATGTATAAAAAACACTTTCCCAAGTTAGCAGTAAATAAATCTGTGATTAAGAACAAAAGTTATAGCTTAACCGAATTATGCATTCCTTTATTATATTTCAAATTTGAATCATCTATGTTATATTGTATCTACTTAATTCATGTTATACCTTTATAGTGCATAATAGTTACAGCTTTTCAGTTAGTTCGGAAGCTATAAACAAAAATATGAAAAATTACAATTATATACTCTTAAAAATCAAACCTAAACATTTTAAGTATGTACTCGAAACACAATTTTGTGATTTACCAAATTTTTCTGTCACATTACATGTTTCAAAAAGGATAGCTCAAAAACTAATTGAGCTAAGTTCACAAATGATTTAATGATTTAATATAGTAAATGCCAGAACACTTTTGAAATTGTTTATGATCCAGGTACTGATTCGGGTAGCTGTCATACAATTTCCAAATTTTTTTCTCTATATCTCCGGAGCTATAAAAGCTATGGTATAGAAACTTTGCACAAGCGAATATATTGGTAGAGCCAATATGTTTGAAGAAAGTCATTGAAATTTCTTGCCTCCTTCTTGTAGCTGCCATGCAAATTCAAAATTTATTTGGCTAAATCTCAAAAACTACAAAAGCTGTGGGACTGAAATTTCGCACAAGCGGATATAGTAGTAGGACCAATGAAAGTCGTCGAAATTGCTTGGCTGCTTCTGGTGACTGCTATACAATTTGAAAAGTTATTGGATTATATCTTAGAAACTGTTTAACCTACAGTACCGAAATTTTGCAAAACAAAATATGGTAAAATGGCAGCTATATTTGTTAAAAGTTGTTGAGATCTCATGAACGCTGGCATATAGCTCCATAAGTTATTTGAGTTTATCTCAGAAATTAGTGGAGCTATATAATATAGAAATTTTGTGAAAACAAGTGTATTATTACGGCTGTAATGTGTGATAAAAATGGTTGAAATTTCTGGACTCCTTGTGGTAGCTGCCATACAACTTCAATAGTAGTTTGATCATATCTTATAAAATATTGAAAACACAGTTGTACCGAATTTTGTAACTTAAATTGGTACACAACAGTCAGCTATGGCGTATTTACTCGCACACAGAGTACGGATATCACAGAGTTGACGCGATAAACTCTATCTTTTCTCGTTTCAACTGGATTTTTGCATTTTTTCGCAAATAATCGACTGATTACTCACATTCAAAAACAAGGTGATTAAATTTTGTATTCATTTTAGAAAAAAACAAGATATGCAATACTGAATGATTCTTCTCACTCGAAAATCATATTATAGAGATATATATGATAATTCTCACTTTCCTCTCACTTGCGGAGTAAAATAGCGCGGTAGACAGACGATCAGGCCATAAATGTTTTACAAATTTAAGGTTTTTTAAGCTAAGTTTCAGGGCTATTACGCTCTGCTATTGTAATTTTATTAAAATTGAAAACAATTTGATTTTTCAATTCAATTTTTACTTATTCATATTATCTTGAAATCCTTTTAATTATTCTCTTCCAATAGCCAATCTAGTCATACTACTGATGAGCATAAATGAAAACAAAAACGGCTGAAAATTTATGGCTATTGTATTTAAAACTTTTATAGCTAAGCAAATTGTGACATTTTATGTGATTCGACGAAATTTAATTATTTATTATAATTTACGAGTATAAATAAACAATTTTTTCTTATATTTCTTCTGAATAAAATTTAATATAACTCTCGTCCTATAGAGTAAGACATCACATTATTGAACATAATATAATTTAAATCAAAATAAAATGATTATAACGTTATTAAAGAGCTCAATTTATTTTAACTATGTAAAATGGCTTCTTAAAAATAGAATTAATAAATTTATTATTTTAAAATGAATCATATTTTTTATTTAGTATAACATTTATATTTTGAAACAAAAATATTATCTTATTCATCATACATATATATGACAGGAAATACAAAAATTTCGCAAACAACAAAGTTTAATGATCTCTGAATATTTATAGCCGAAGAAAATCGATAAACTTTTCGAACTTCTAATTTTTTTAAATTTGCTAGTTTTTTACTTATATACGAATTAGTTTAAATATTTTTCAAAATTCAGGTAAAATATACATAATATAATATTATTGGTTTAATAATAACTATGAGATACTTTTTCGTTTCTAATACATATTATATTTCTTTTTTTCGAACAAAAATACAATAAACCAAAAATTTCTAAAGTGGCGCTTTGTTTTGCGTTTCTGCTAAGTTCCCGTCTTTTTTTTCGAAGAAATAAATTCTGATAAATAAACTTTCTCATTTTAAAAAACTTGAAAAGGAAGGAGGCAAAAAAAATGTTCTGGCAAAATAAACCTTTTGATAATGTCTATAAACCGTTAAAATTTTTAACTTACTAAAATAACAGCCTAAAAGAAGAGAAACGCTTGGGAAAAACCTATTTCTAGATTATGGTTAATTTGAACGCCTACTTTCTAAGCCTTTCATTCCAAGGTTTTTTTGCGATTTGGCAAATAAATAAAAAAAAATGCATGAGTTTGAGCGCCACTTTTCTAGTTGAAAAATACGTTTCCTACAAAGACCTTTTGTATAGACAACTACAGTTTACTATGCTAAAGAGTGTAGAAATTTTGTAAACGAAGCCCGAACGTACCGACGTGAAACTGAAAAAAATATTTTTTTTTTTTCTTAGATGTGGCTTAAAATTAAAATGTGTAACTTTTCCATTTGTTTCAAATTGATATTATTTGGTTAGTAACCAAAATTTTAGATAAATAATTAATTTAAACAATTGCATTCATATGCAAATGGAACTCACTTCACAATATTTTTTTTAAATATCTATATATGTACATATGTATGTTTAGTAAACATCACAAATTTATGTTATAAAGTTTATATCCAGAAATTTGTAAAATAAATTCGTTGTGAATTTATTGAGAATTCCTAAAATCTTATGCTTAAAAATATTATAATTCAAAATATAAATTATAAAATTTATGTTAAAATTAATTAATAGTTTAAATAAGAAAATTAATTCTATTAATATTTTAAGAGATAATTTTTTAAATATTGCTCGTTACTGCAATAGATTATGTCCAAAATCATCAAACAAAATTGAAAGTAAATACATTTACCTAATAGAATATATAATTTACTGTTACTTTTGTTTTCGAAGGGTATACTAAATTTGCTTTACCTTTTGTAACGTTAAGAAATAATGGTCTGAGATATAAACTTTACTTTAACGTATATTTTTGATCAGCGTCGATTTCGACAAAGCTAAGTCGATTTAGCTTTGTCTGTCCGT